GACATGATTGCATAAATGGGTTGTTTTTGTTTTAGTCACATACATTAAATGTTTAAATATATCTTAAATATGTTACTGCTTATATAATTTTACCATCTGTACACCAATATAAGTAGTGAATGTGCGTGTCCGTCGTTGGGGCTGTGTCGGTGTGGTAATGTGGGCTAGTGTGGCTACAGTGCCAGGGCTGATTTTTAGTCTCAGTCCACCCCTGCCTGAGAACCTCTACTTAAATAAAGACTTTGTTTTCTCTGCATTTGAGTTCACCTCTTCTTTGCCCGTGACATACAGAAGTTGGGACTAGCTCAACTTTTCAAGCGTGACGGAAGCGTCAGCCAACCAGATCGCTGTATGCAAATACAACAGCTAGGCAGTGGCCTATTGCTGACTGAATTTCATTGGCTGATGCTTCTATGACGATCGCTTCAGCCCCAACTCCATTATATTATTTGCATTTTTATGCATGAGTAATAAACACAACTGGAGTTTGACTGATTACAAGCATTTATTATTCTTCAAGAGTTCACACTTAGCTGATGATTGATTATAAGCAAGTTTGGCATGCTGTCCCGGGAGAGAGCCCTGAGCTCGAAGGTTCTTGAGCCCTGGGCTCCCTCCCGTTTGGAGGTAGAGAGGGGAGCCTCGAGCTCAGGTAGATCTCGACAACTCCCCTTTTATAATAGCTAAAGATTAAGATTGAAGGCTATTAAAAGATATGCTGCATTATTAGATTACCTGTATTGAAATTTAGATTTAAAGATTAACTTGTTGTACATGTTTTTGGAATGTGGGAGGAAACCGGAGAACCTGGGGAAAACCTACGCAAGCACGGGAAGAACATGCAAACTACACACAGAAACAACCACCGGCCTGTTAAGGAACTAGAACCGGTGACGTTCTTGCTGTGAGGCGACAGTGCTAGTCACTGAGCCACCGTGCTGCCCTATGGAGGGAAAGGAGAAGTAGGGGTGGAAGGGGGGATTCTTCAAATCGAAGATGACTGTAGTGAGAAAACCCTGGCTCTTTATAGTGGTTAGGAATGGCCTGATTGGTGGATCAAGCATGCTAATGCAGAACCAGCCGTGTTCAATCATAATCACGTGCTCCTCTCGAAATTAGTTTATGAATAAACTTTACATAGTCATTTTCCCATAGTCAAATGAATCAGAAGTTCTAACACAGTTGGAGAAAAGAGCTCAGTTACACATTGCCCAATAAGCTCAATACAATGACGATACTTGATTAAGCAGAAGAGAAACTATATAGTACAGAATGGATAATATAGATAAGACAGGCAGGCATGTTCACATGTTCAACATGTCCTACTTATTTTGTTTACTGCATGCGTTTTTGTAACACTTTACTCGAAGGTGTGTTCATGAAACCTTTATAATGATGACATTACACAGATCACGGATGTGACTTAGATTTTATGCATGCTTGTGACAATTGTTAGTCTCATTTGCTCAGTTATATCCTTTTAAATGCAAAGATGACATTGTTTGTTATGACAACTTGACATAGGCAAATACATCTCGACCTGGTTTTGTCTTTGTCATGACAACTTGGCATTACCAAGACAATAAAACTTGTCATAAATCTGTCATAAACATGATCTTCATACAGCCATGGCATGTATTATGCTACGTTGGCACAATTATTATGATAGACCCACAATTGCACACATTTGCTAGTCAAAAACCTGCCTGACTTGACCACGAAGTGACATGAATGATCCTCGCTAACATTTAACACAAAAGAAGATGTTTTGCAGAATGTTGGAAACCTGTAACCTTTGGCTTCATGAAAGAAGATATTTTATGCTCAACAGAACGCACAGACACAGAAACTTTAAACTGACTCACAAGTCGTGAGTAAATGAGCCTTTACAATGATGTTCCATTAGGTTAATGATTGTTAATGTTTTTACCTACTACATGAATTAAGAATGAATTATATTTGTATAAAATCTATTAATAATAATGCAAATCTCAGTATTTCATTCCAACTAAATTTAGGCCTTTTAACATTAGTTAATGCACTTTGAGATAGGAAGAACTAACAATAAATGACTTTATTTTAATTAAATAATCTTATCAAATCTTGGACAAAATCCTGTAATAAATGTATTATTCATTGTTTGTTCATATTATTAAATACATCAACATTAATCAGTGGAACATTATTGTTAAGTGTGACCAAAACCTCATTAGGGAGCTTTTAATTACTTTCATAAATCACATATTCAGCTTCTACAACTTGATTGTTCCTTCTGACTACACGCTGATGTGAGCGAATGCCTTGCTCGATGTTTTGGTAATGTCGAGTGTATGTCCCATCTCTTGATTCCGTCATCAGAGCACGGCTGTTGTTTATGTACGATGCAACCTGAGAAAATATGGGGAATAAGAGGATAAGCAAGATTCGGTTATATGCTCGTGCTCATGTTGATTGGCTTTTGTTACTGCGTTTAGTAACCAGCTCTAGAAACTCAAGAAAACTCTTCCCTCTCAGTTCAGTTGCGCTTCACTGATCCTAAAGAAGGTTTTTTGTTGTTGTTCAGATCTTTTATTAACATTTTGGTCAATAACACAAATTTTTTTTAAATATTTGAAAAACAGAGACAAATTATCTTTGCTCCAACAGAGCCCCCGCCGCACCGCATCATTTCTATACAATATATTATGCACACTTTAATCTGTTTTACATCATGCCCTGATATACAGTTGAAGTCAAAATTATTAGCCCCCATTTGAATTTTTTTTTTAAATATATTTCCCAAATGATGTTACATAGAGCAAAGAAATTTTCACAGTATGACTGATAATATTTCTTCTTCTGGAGAAAGTCTTTTTGTTTTATTTTGGCTAGAATAAAAGCAATTAAAATTTTTAAACACCATTTTAAGGACAATATTATTAGCCCCTTTAAGCTATATTTTTTTCTCAATAGTCTACAGAACAAACCATCATTATACAATAACTTGCCTAATTACCCTAACCTGCCTAGTTAACCTAATTAACCTAGTTAAGCCTTTAGTGTAGTGTAGGCGATGGACCACTTTAAACTGAATAATTGTATGTCGCAAACCAATTGAAATTGAGTGAATCTTATTTATAATGTCTTGCCAAATGTCCTCTTAGAGAACCAACTCAAGTTTACTTTCCCATTGTTTCGACTTTGTTACTAAAGTTAGATTGTAAAGAAGGAATAATTAATTTTTTTTATTATTGGCACACTTACCAGAGCAAGTAATGCTGAGTTTGCCCCCTGGTTACACTTACATCTATACCTTCAGAAGAAAATGATACAATGTAAGGATTGATACATTTATGAAGTATATTAGACGTATCAGTAATATCTACATCAGTAAAAATCTACATTTGAAATACATTACTCAACTGATCCGGTAATGAGCCATTGTAGTTTTTTATCAAGTTGCATTGATCACATTGTGATGCCTATAGTTGGTAAGAAGAAATCACATGAGAAATCTATTAGCCTTTTATCGGATATTTTCAAGAAGTTTAGTATTTCATTTAGCATTTTTACACGTTTTTCACTGGTTTAGTTTCCCAAATATATTATTGTTATTATTATTATTATTATTATTATTATTATTATTATTATTATTATTATTATTATTATTATTAATACAAAAATTAGATGCCTTACACTAAAAATGCTGGGTTCACAATTAAAAGCAATCTGTTAGATTTTCAAATTTGTGATTTTTTTTTTTTTTTTTTTTTTTTTTGCATTTTCATTTATTTATGCTTTTGAATTCCATTATGGGATCTTGATCTTTCCTTCAGCAAACTTTTGATGTTGAAAAGTTTTGAAAAGTGAAATAGTTTGAAGTGATTTATTGACTGGTTTAGTAATGTAAATTACAATACAAAACAGGTTAATAAACGTCCACTCCTTTTTCTTTTATTTTACAAACTTAATTCTCTCAATGTCTTATACAATGTACTGATTTAAACTATTAAAATATAAATAACTGCCAGTTAAATTTCCAAGATTCATTTTCAACTTTAAAAGTCCACACAGCAGAAATAAAAGTGCCATAATAACTTTAAACTTACGAGAGAAATCTGGAAAATCTAGAAGTAGGAAACCTGTGAAGATTACAGTGTTGCACAGCTGGGGTGCCGGAAAACAAAAACTTAAAATAACGGCCTTTAAAATACAGAAATTTACCTAAATTTATATTTTACAGTAAATTTCTTTAATTTAACATTTATTTTTTTCTGGCACCCCAGCAGTCAGAAATAAACCGTAAAATTACAGGGTTTTTTTTTATAGTGCCGTTATTGAGACCAGGTTTGTCCATATTTGACCAATTTAGATTGAAACAACCCAGCATTTTTAATGTCTTAATGATCCCATCAAATAAAAATCATTAGAAGATTTAAAACTATTTAAACATAAAGCATATGACACTTATAAGGTGTTTAATTATAAATGTGAATTATTATTTTCTTACCATTTTCTTTTTCTAATGCTCTTCTTCAAAGTTGTACAGGGGAGCTGACTAGAGTTTCCTCCCCACAGAGAGCTATATGTATATATATATACACACCTCAGATGATGATATCTGCAATATGACGCAAAACGAAAGAAGTGAAAGTATTTGAAGAATCTTGAGACAGGTAGACAGATAAAAAGATAAGAAAATATGAAAAAAAATACACTCCCACCTGTTTTTAATTTTCCAGCGAACATGTCAAGAAGTCTAAATTTATAAATTTGTTATTCTTTAATAGTAAGATGTCCTTTAAAGTGGAGGTTGGAATAAAGAGATAATATATTTCTCAAAATGGAACAGTTGAAAATAACGTCAAATGAAGTGTTTAATTGTTAAAGGGGTGGTCCACTATCATATCATATTTTGAACTTTACTTGATGATAATGTAAATGTGTGAACATAAACAACATCCCTGCATAGGGAGACAATGGGTACTACAGAGTTAGCTTAGCTAAGCCTACAGCGAACAAAATTTGGGGACCACAAAAAAAGACATTCGGCCTAGTGAAATCATAAACCCTTCTGGTTACGCGCATAAACCCCGTGCAGTGAAGGGGAAGAGGCGCTGTAATGTTACAGCAGACAAAGCTAAAATGCCGTCCAAATGCTGCTATTTCCACAGAGCTCATTCTGTTTCTGTATTTGGACTTTCAAAGGACACGACACAAAGACAGAAGTGCTTACAATTTAATACAATTTTAATTATGTTCCAGAGAATTACAAAAGAATTTACTGGAAAAGTCTGAATTATTCGCCCCCCTGTTTATTTTTTTCCCCAATTTCTGTTTAACGGAGAGATTTTTTAACACATTTCTCATCATAATAGTTTTAATAACTCTTTTCTAATAACTGATTTATTTTGTCTTTGCTATGAGGACGGTAAATAATATTTGACTAGATATTGTTTTGATATTTTTAGATTTTTATATTTATATAGGCTGAGTCTGAGAGTTGTGTTTATTTGACAGTTCATTTAACATTTCTTGTTTGTAAAGGCTAAATACAAAAAAAAATTAACATAAGTTCTTTTGTACTGTTTTTATTATTTTTAAAAAAAGTTGTAAGAGCCTGGAGGTATTATACACTTTGCAAATTGAGCTTGCTGACATTTGTGGGTACAGACATCTATTGTGTGCATTCTTGGCAGTTTTTTTCTGTCTTTTTAATATTGTCCATATCGATATTGGAATTACATTTTATTGACCGAAATTAAGAAGTATATTGTACCTTAGGGCGATGCAGTGGCGCAGTGGGTAGCACGTTCACCTCACAGCAAGAAGGTCGCTGGGTCACTGGTTCAATCCTCGGCTCAGTTGGCGTTTCTGTGTGGATATTGCATGTTTTCCCTGCGTTCGTGTGGGTTTCCTCCGGGTACTCCGGTTTTATTCTGACTGTACATATAAATATACAAATATTTAGAGAAATACAATTGTCATTTTCTACCATTAAACCCTCTAATGTTCCTATTGTTATGTGAAGACACATTAGCAGGTGTTTAAAAATAAAATTAAATAAAAAAAAACAAGTGAACATTCACACATAATAATGGCAAATTTGTTTGCAAATGTGTTAAACTTCACATTCACAAAGAAAGATGCTTTGTTACATTGCTGTGGCTACTGTACATCTTTGTGTTTTTCAGCCAGTTTGACGATATTTCTCAGAAGTCAACTGGGCCTAAAACACATTTACAGTATAGGAAGCCTCATTGCATACTTCTGTAAAACAGGTTTGTAAAGCTAATTTTGTTCGTGTTAGTTGTGATAGTCAAGATAAGGAAATAACAATACAAGCACATCAATGTCAATCACACTCATGTGAAAGTTGTTTTGCTTTTTCTCTTCATCTCACTAGCATTTAAGCCTTAAAATTAAACTGAAACAGTTTATAGAATTGTGTGTTTTTTTTATATTTCATGTTTGATCCTGTGATGTTCTGCATAAAGTAAATATGTCAAATATAATCATGATCCTTTTCTTAAATGTGCTTCATAGTTTTGAAGTGCTTTAATTTTGCTGGGTATAATCACAGTTATTGTGCATGCAGTGAAACCATCCAGTGTCAGGGAAATGATTATTGAAAGTTTTCATAACACATTAAACTGCATTTATGACGATGTAATACAAAGGTGCAGCATTTGTAATTGTATATTCAACATCATTTATACTTGTGTACTGAGGATAAAAATAATTAAATTTTATTACTTTTGTGTCTTTAATTTTTATTAGAAAAATGTTTAGACTAACAACAGATTAATCAATCTTTCTCTTTTGTATGATATCACATATTGACCAGACACACTTTCTCTTTTTACAGTGCTGCATGATTTTAGAAAGAACTGCTGACAAGAGGTGAATAGCAGAATAAGAATAAATATAGTGTGGGGGCCCTTCTTCCAGACTGCTGTTAAATACAAAGTCTAGACATGTCTCAAGGAGCATGATGCTTATAGAAGTTCATTCATTCATTCATTTTCTTGTTGGCTTAGTCCCTTTATTAATCTGGGGTCGCCACAGTGGAATGAACCGCCAACTTATCCAGCAAGTTTTTACGCAGTGGATGCCTTTCCAGCCACAACCCATCTCTGGGAAACATCCAAAAACAATTGGTGAATTGGGTAGGCTAAATTGTCCGTAGTGTATGAGTGTGTGTGTGAATGTGTGTGTGTATGTTTCCCAGAGATGGGTTGCGACTGGAAGGGCATCCGCTGCGTAAAAACTTGCTGGATAAGTTGGCTGTTTATTCCGCTGTGGCGACCCCGGATTAATAAAGGGACTAAGCCGACAAGAAAATGAATGAATAAATGAATGCATTTTAGATTTTCTAATAGTTGTATTTCAACCAAATATTGTCATATGCTAACAAAGTAAACATCAACAGAAAGCTTATATTTTCAGCATTCAGACAAAGCGTTTTTGCTAATTTTTCAATATACATATTTTTATATTATTCAATTTAAAATGCATCAATAAGGATATCTAGAGAAAAAGACTTAATATTTGTTGTCAGTTCTTTGGATTTGTCATTAAGCCTAAGGGTGAAGAAACTCATTGAACACATTCTAAAGTGTTAAAGGGGATTATTACAGGACTTTTGCAATTATTATTTTTTTTAAAACATTGTAATCAATGTAGGGCGGCACGGTATCTCAGTGCTCCTCACTGTCCACGCACAGCAAAAAGGTTGCTAGTTTTAGTCCCGGCTGGGCCAGTTGACACTTCTGTGTGGAGTTTGCATGTTCTCCCTGTGTTGGCTTGGGTTTCCTCTAAAGGGTCTCTCTCTAAAAGTGAGGGGGACGTATTGCCGAATTACCCTAACCTGCCTAGTTAATCTAATTAACCTAATTAAGCCTTTAAATGTCGCTTTAAGCTGTATAGAAGTGTCCTTAAAAATATCTAGTCAAATATTATTTACTGTCATCATGGCAAAGATAAAATAAATCAGTTATTAGAAATGAGTTATTAAAATATTATGTCTAGAAATGTGTTGAAAAAAATCTTCTCTTCGTTAAACAGAAATTGGGGAATAAATTAAACAGGGAGGCTAATAATTCAGGGGGGGCTAATATTTCTGACTTCAACTGTACATGTCCATTAGTAGAACTGTGAATAACTGACGCAAGTGACGTAGCTGCCACATGTCTTAAGCAACTTGTTGTGAAAGAACCTCTTCTCCCATAAAAATAGACAGGCGACTGTACATTCTTTTGATTTTCAACCAGTTTGACAACATTTCCCAGATGACAAGTGGGCCTAAAATAAATTTCCAGTATGCAGGAAGCCTCAATGTATATTTCTGTGAAACAGGTGTCATTGTAATGAAAAAATAAGTTCGATTTAAAGACTCCTTAAAGGCATTTCATTAGTTCAAAAATCAAATATATATTTTACGTTGAATTTGTTTATTGAAAGACAGATGAACTGATAGATTGTAACTGCTAACACACACAGACAGTTGAAGACAAAACTGTTATTATTATTATTATTTATACAGAAAAACAACAACTATTATCTACGAAACAACCCACTTTCATTCATTCATTCATTTTCTTTTCAGCTTAGTCCCTTTGTTAATCAGGGCAGAATGAACCACCAATTTATCCAGCATATGTTTTACGCAGCGCATACCCTTCCAGCTGCAACCCATCACCGGGAAACAAATATGTCAATTTTTGATTAGTAATGAGAATGGCTGAGAATATTTGGACAACTTTGATGATGATTTTGTCAATATTTAGATTTTTCAGATTCCAGATTTTCAGATAGACGTATTTTGGCCAAATATTGTTATATCCTAATAACGTAAACATCAATGGAAAGTGTGTTTGCTTTTCAAATGCTTCAGTCAAGATATCTAGAAAAAGAGACTTCAAATTTGTTAACAATTTTTTGGATTTGTCATTAATCCTCAGGGTGTTGTTAAAGAGGTTTATTACAAGACTTTTTTGTTATTATTATTATTATTATTATTATTATTATTATTATTATTATTATTATTATTATTATTATTATTATTATTATTATTATATTTTATTGTGGCAACACTATGGCTCAGTGGTTAGCACTGTTGCCTCACAGCAAGAAGGTCGCTGGTTCGAGTCCCGGCTGGGTCAGTTGGCATTGGTGTGGAGTTTGCATGTCCTCCCCGTGTGGGTGCGGGTTTCCTACGCGTGCTCCGGTTTCCCCCACGGTCCAAAGACATGTGCTATAGGTGAATTGAATTAGCTAAATAGTATATAATAATAGTAATACTAATAGTCCATAGTATATGTGTGTGCATGTGAGAGTGTATGGAAGCTTCCCAGTACTAGGTTGCAGCTGGATGGACATAAGCTGTGTAAAACATATGCTGGAAGTTTTGCCGGTTCATTCTGCTGTGGCGACCCCTGATGAATAAAGGGACTAAGCCGAAGGAAAATGAATGAATTTTATTTTATTGTAATCATTGTCAATGAGGTTACCATATATGATTCTTTGCTTGATAAAGGATTAACAGGTCCATGTTTTTAGACCTTAAACACTGTAAAAAATGTAT